TCAAAGTCAAGTCAAATGTAACTGCAATAGTGGAGTGTTGCCATGTCCACAATTGAAATAAATAAATACATTTAGTTCGACCAAAGACTGACAGTACTACAAAAAACATACCTACTGTACATACATATATTTTTACCAAATATTATACAGTTTGCAGAAATTAGGGAAAGACCATTGTCCGTGTGTGTTTTTGCTGCAGCCTCCAGAGCAAAGCTGAGTATGATCAACACCATGTCAAAGATCCGGGGTCAGGAGAAGGGCCCCGGGTACCCGCAGGCTGAGAGCGTGCTGGGGGACGCCATGCTGAGGTTCGGGCGAGAGCTCGGAGACGTGTCCTGCTTCGGTGAGGAATGTTTTGTTTTGGCAAATGTTCGTGCTTTTCCACACAATTTTGAAATCTGTTGGCAAGTAACACAGTATCTTGAAGTTGCTTTGAAGCTGGGGTACGTTTTTTTTTCCATAAAAAATCCATTCTATTTATTCTGTTGAGTCACAACTTGATGCTTTGTTCTGAGAGCTGATTGGCTGAGTGAGGTCCTCGCTTTTTCACTTTTCAGATTTGATTTAAAGCTGCAACAGAGGGCACATACAGTAATACATGCATTTGAAAACTAATGACAGAACCACACTATTTTCAGAGCAAGCAACCAGGTAGACCAGTAATTTTTTGAAAGTTAGGTACCCCAGCTTTAATATCATCCCAAACAGTTATAATGCTTTGTCTATTTTGTTAAAACGACTTTCTGTTTACTGCTCACTTATTTATGCATTTTTGTTTTGTTTTCATTGTTGTGTGTTTTAAAGCAGGCATTAATATTACGTTCAAAACTATCGGTCTCAAGTGTGATGTTATACAGCTGTTTATAATTATCACACATTACATACTTCGATACTAACATTTTTTTTTACCTTCACTTATGATTATTTTTAGTAATAATTGTCTGAAAACGTTTTATTACCTTCGCTTTTTAGTGTCTTTGTATTGAGTGTTTGGATGGATGCGTGGGCCTAAAGCGGAGGACTTTCCACCTCTGGTTCCTCATAAAGCACCTCGCTGTCGCTGATGCACAGACTGTAGTGAATAAGTGCTGCTGGTGTCTCCATCCCTCTTCCGTAATGTGGTCATCTCTGCTGCTTCTCTCTCTGGAAAGAAAGCATAATAATATATCTATTTCTACATATCTATCTATGTGACCCTGAGCCACAGTTTGAAAACCACAGCTCTAAATCCACTGAAATCTACATCAAAATCCTTTCGATGAGTTTTTCTGTCTCACAGGAGTCAGCTCTTTGAAACTCAGACGAGAGGTCCAGACCATAGTTACCAGGAGAGATTTCCTGGTAACTAAACAATAGCTTCTTTGAAATGCAATGTCATGTTACAGATTTTAACATTGAACCATTGACTATTATACAGCCTTTACCTCCTGTGTGTGTATTGAGATTAGCGTGACTGTGATTCCAGTTAGTTATGTGCATTCTGTGGGCAGGTACAGCGCTCCTGGACGCGGGGGAGTCCATGAAGGAGCTGGGGGAGGTGAAAGACGCTCTGGACATGGAGGTTAAACAGAACTTCATCGACCCACTACAAAACCTGCACGACAAAGACCTCAAGGAAATACAGGTGAGCTGAACCCATGATATATGTACATGAGTCACTATTATTCCAGGCATTATGGCGTTTTTGCGATGACGTGATAATAGTCCTTTTTCACTGTAGATCATGTAGCTGAGGTCTCCTGAGAAACATACTAAAAGTCATAAGAATGCATAGTTGTGCTAATAGGTTCCAATCAATCATAGACTATATATTTTAACGGACGTAGTGATGCCTTTTTCCTCGGTAGAAATGTATTTGCCACAGACATGGGCAAATACACATCTAAATGGCCGCGGGCGTCCTCTCCCACAGGAAAATGTAAAACAACACATTTGCGCATGCGTTAGCCGGCACGAGCCCCATTCATCTAACGAGTGCCTTCAAAAGTCCACAAAGGCTAAACTAGACTGGCCCAGACAAACAAAAATCCCCCCCAGTATTGACACGCAGCTGGAAAAGCCTTTGGACCATCCTGTAAAGCTGTTTTCAAGAGAAAAGAAACATACAAAAGCATTGGGTAATTCTCTTTCCGGATCCACCCCCACCAGCTTGGAGTGAGAGCATGTCAGTGCACGTGCTCATGGACCTTTTTGAGCCGGGACCCACCCCCACTGGCGCCAATACAACCAGACAACTGGTTAAATACAGAGAGTTAGAAATTTGTTCCCAAGTTCATTTATTTCTGTAATCCAACAATGTGAAACCAATACATAATATAGACTCAGTGCATGCAAAATGACATATGCCTTTGTTTGTTATAATGTTGAGGATTATGAAGTTGAAAGTTTTAAAGTTTTTTCAAAGACTCAATACTTAAATTATGATCCCAAAAATAGACAAAAGCTGAAGCAATCATCTCCACAAATCATGCAGTTATCCTCCTTGTTATCATGAATATGTTGGTCCATCGGTGTATTCTTCCACAATATAGATACAATTCACTGGTATGTATTTGGGAATGTTTCAAAGTGTATATTTACTTTCTGTTTCCGTGGAATATTGCTGGTGACAAGTAACCATCTCTATTTGGTAATGTTGATCTATTTGGTAATGTTGATTTTGGCTCCAACTAAGACAGTGTGCAGGCTTGTTTTAGGAATGACAAGTATTTTTCAACCAGTGGGCCAAGGCACGCATTTTGTGTGGTGTGTGCTTTTGGAAACGATCCAATATCCTCTCATTGGTCAAAATAATGTGAGACAAATAGACAAATAGGAAGACTTTAAATTTTTTAATTTCTTTTATACACTGACTGATGGCTTTCATTGTTAATAAAGGCTTCTGCTGGTGGTGTGCCATGTGATTTTTATCAATGGAAGAGGTGTGTCACGGTTCAAAAAGGCTGGGGAACGCTGCTCTACTGGACAGTCATGGGTTTGGGAGTGATAACACCTCCATAAAACCACAATTGTGATCTTGATTTAACTCTTTATTACATCCAAAATGTTTCAAAATGTCATCCGTGCACAAGCAGCTGCAGGCCTGTTCCGAAATGTACGTTCTCGCATGGCTAATTTTTGATTCTCACTGACGCATAAGAAAAAGAGACTCTTCTAGTTTCTTTGATGTAATGCCTCTTTAGAGTGATTGATTACTTATTTATTTCAAACCTATGCAATATTCTACATGCGTTAAAAGCAAAAACATTACATTTATGTGCACATGTTTCAAAGGAAAGAAGAACATACATTAATTCCTTCCCCCACTCTGTATTCCCACATTATTTTCCTTTCACACATTTCTCAACTGCCTATTTTCCTTTGTTTATTATTTTTTTTTAGAAGAATCCAATAGGTTAACTTCATGTTGTAGAATTCTATTTCAGTTGGAAGGTGGGTGCCAAACTCTTATGTGAAAGAAAAAAGCAATTACCAATGTCCATAAATGTTCATAAAGGATCTTATTTCTACTGGCCAACATTATGCACATGTTTTTGAATGATGTCACCACTTTTAGACATTTTTATGAGAAAAGAATGAGACCAAAGTTGATATGTGCTCGTAAAGAAGATGTGGAACTTTGTGACAGATTTTGTTTCATGTGCATTGACCCAGGGATTACAGAGAAATTAGCTTCACATTTAAAACTTGAAATCTGTTTTTTAACTGTTACCATAGTTACCAGGAAAGATTTTTCAGCTTCTATGCACCACAATGTGAAACTGTCATAATGCTGTGTTTCCCCGTGGCTTTAGCACCACTTGAAGAAGATGGAAGGCCGGCGTTTGGACTTCGACTACAAGAAAAAGCGAATGGGGAAAGTACTGGACGATGAGATCAAACAGGCGCTGGAGAAGTTTGACGAAAGCAAAGAGGTCGCGGAGCAGAGTATGTTCAACCTGCTGGAGAGCGACGTGAGTCTCACTCAGAGGGGATTCTCCTGTGTTTAGACTTTATTTCACTTTTGTAGAGTTAGAAGACATTGGAACACGGCTGTATCTCAGGCTAATGATTTTCTATTGCATTGCATTAGTGAGTATTCTTCCAATTGATTGGTTTGTTGTTTTGAACACAAATGGCCTGTGAATAATAAGAAGCTGAAGTAGAGCCTCATGATGTAGAACTATCACAGCGGAAATGTCTTGCAGTAGTATTTGTTTTATTTATTATTTATGATAAGATTTACCACTACAACAAGTGGTTTTTGAGCACTTACAAGATCATTAGCCCGTTTTGTTTCTTATGGTCAAACTTCTATTGAACTGGAGTTTCTAACTTTGTCTTCTCTAAGTACAGTTTGTGAACAAATCAGACAACATGCTGTCTTTATCTTCAGTATAAAACATTTAATCTTTTACATACTGAGAGCTGATCAGGACATAGCTGTGTTTTTTTTGTTTTCAGAGTTTGAGTTTTGTGCTCCAGCTTATACACATATACAAATATACAGGAGATAAAAAACTGAGATGTTTTCATCAGAGAAGAACTTAATTAACTTAATACTTTGCATGAAGACACCCTACACTATATTAACATAAGTGTGAAAATCAAAAAGGGCTTGTATTAGCCGTCACGTGAATATAATAAAAAATCCATCCATCCATCCATTTTCTACCATTTAATCCATTTCTGGGTCAGGGGGGTGGCAGTCAGAGATGCCACCCAAGTCTCATAGCACCAGCCCCTCACTGACCCTCTGCAGGTGGTGAGTCCACAGGAGGACGGCTGCTCTCTGAGTGTGAGCATAGCCTTGATCTTTCAGTGGGGGCTTTGGGCAAAGTGGGGTTAAGTGTCTTGCCCAAGGACACAACGACAGCAGTCATCAGTGGGAGTCGATGGAGAAGGTGCAGAGGTGGGAATTGAACCCACGACCTTCTGGCCTTAAGGCCAATGCTCTACCAACTGAGCTACTGTCGCTATAAAATATAAAATAAAATATATTTTTTATTATAGTGAACTTGCGTGAATAAACATTACAGACAGCATAATGTCTTATGTTATTGTTTACCTACTTTATTATTGTATTTCATCTTCTGCTGGGGGGTTGTGTTTAACAACTGTAAAACACTTTGTGCTACATGTTACATCTGTATGACAAGCACTTTATAAATAACATTGATCGTTTGTGTCCAGATCGAGCAGGTGAGCCAGCTGGCGGCTCTGGTCCAGGCTCAGTTGGAGTACCACACCCGCGCCTCCGAGATTCTACAACAGCTCTCCAGCAAAATGGAGGATAGGTGTGTATCTGCCCTCACCTTGTTCAAGCCTCTTCTTTATGCTCTTTATGCAGAGGTTTAACATGAAATATAGATGAAGACATAACATGCTTTTGTCAGTGTCATTATGACAAATGTGAATTTTCTTTATGACATTTTAAATGTAAATATGGATCAAGAAGGGTTTCAGGAAATAAAAATGAGTTCATCGAGATGGAGCTGTTTCATAGGAGCTGTTTCATAGGCTATATATAGATGGACAATGCTAAGTTGTTTTTGTCTATTTTATTTCTACAGGATAAAGGAGGTGTCCAGTAAACCCAGGAAAGAGTACACTCCCAAACCTCGAATGACCCTGGAGCTGCTGCCAGTGAGCGAGAGCCACAACGGAGGCATCCACTCGGCCAAGTCCCCTGGGAAGTCGCCAGGTGGGCCATGACATTCAGACTTCAACATTCCATTAATAAGACATTTGCAGTTAAAAAACCCATTGGAATTGTTGAGCCAAAGCACCCAGTGTGCACCAGACACAACAATGTCAAAACATGACAGGAGGAACAAACCGTGAGCCACATCTACAAACCTCACAAGACTAAAAACTCACCCCACACTCACAATCCAGTGTGTTTGCTCTTTGCATTTACTCATTAACTTTAAATGTTTTTCCACACACAAAATGTTTAAGTTAAAGGATAACTTTTTTCTTGTCTCTTTCTAACGTTTACATTTGAACCTATAGGCAAAATACAACAGAACTCTTATAAAGCTTAGAGTTTAGAATTTAATTTATTTGGAGTTTATGTGCAGTTTGATCAGTTTTATCTGTAGTCCTTGACAATACAATCATATAACACACATATTAAAATACATATTAAAAGCTAGTTAAGAAATTTAGCAGTTACTTATATTGTATATTTTGTGTGCTCCCTGTGTGCTCTTACTACTGTCCTGTATGTGCGTTGCAACATTGAAATTTCCTCACTGCGGGAATATTGCAGATTGGCATGAAATAGAAAACAATAGTAATAACTATTAATATGGAAATACAATACAAAATACTGTAGCTGCATATGTATAAATTCCTCATTGTATTGCTAATGACTGATTACACTATTCCAGATTGTTTACAGTGTGATGGTTTGGCATAAGTAAAGTATTTGTGAGCAGTAAAAACTCAAAAAGTGAAAAGTCTTTCCATAGTTATTTTTTCCCAGGCTTAGTTCCTTTCCAACTCAATTTTTTAGACGTACTTGACAACGTTATTCTATTATCAAAATAGGTCCGAACAAAGTATTTTATTCTATTTTTTTACTTCCAATTTTCTAATAATTTCAAATGACTCATGTATCTTGTTTGGAGATAGATTTCAGAGATATTTCCTTTAAGTCTGAGTGAGCTGGAGCTGAGTCTGACTCATGTGTTTATCTTTGGACTCATTCATTCTCTTTATATGTTCTGCTCTTTCATCATCTGCTGTAAACAGGGAGGATTCTCAATGGCACAAAAATAACCCAAAACACGTCAAGGGATTGGGGATGGTGGTCTCCATGACGACACAAGTACAGAGAGTTCAGAAACCTTTAGAATCGCAACCAGAAAACCAGAACAGAGAACGGTGACATCACATCATCAGTGATTTGTTACATTTATTCATGATGTGAGGTTTCAGGTGAATTTGAAAAGCACTCGTAGAGCCCAGACCTCCGCCAAGAAGAGCTGTCCAGTCACATTTCCTAGGTCACCCCCAAAGAAACTTTAGCCGCAGAGATTATTATTAATAATAATAATGAATGAATGAATGAACAAATAGTAGTTTCTACTGTTCTGAAGGTTGCACTTTAAATTTCTGTTTTTCTATCTATAAAAATAAACCATGATCATTTCTTTTATAATTAGCATCATTTTCTGGACTTTGCAGACTCCAGAACACACATACACAGACTTTAACATCAAATAAAGGCCTTATCATATACAAATGTCAAAACAGGAGCTCTAAGCCCACTTATCTGTCCTCTTCAAAATCTGTTCAAACATAATTTCATAGTATAAATAAAGTAACACACAGATATAGAGAACATGGATGAAGCAGACACCCCCTAAGCTATCTATATGTAACCTAGGTAACACTTTATTTTTTTTATGTACACCTATTCATGTCTAACAATCTGCTAATTAATATAGTTGTTAGTGCTTAATTGGTTGATATTTAATAATAATTAGTACCTTATAAACATTTTATTCTACAGAGCCTATTTCAGCTCGTTATTAGGCTGGACTCAGCAGGAGGAGCAGTGAGGGGCTGCTGCTCTGAGGACCACCCCCCTGACCCAGAAATGGACAAAGGGGATGACGATGAATGAATGAATGAATGAACAAATAGTCTGTTGGTCTAATTACTTCTTGAATTGTGGCGAGAGAGACATTTTTTTTCCAAGAGAAGCACTGACTTGACCCACCCATCCTCACCCATCCTCCAGCAAAACTATTACTGGTGGTCGTTATTCAAAGGAGTACGACTATAGTAATTATATTGTCTTTGAAAAATACATTGGGCTACGATACAAAAAAGAACACTCACACATCAAACAGGATTTATTATTTAAGATAATAGATAATAAAGTAATGAAATATTATAAAACTCTGGAGCTATAATTACACTTGGATAAGGTATTTAAAGATGCTTATATTGTACTTTAGCCGCAGAGAATATGACCAGAATAAACATGAATGGATCCACAGCACACGGCACAAGATAAATGAATAAAATAGATATTTATTATTGATCAGCACAAGATAAATAACATTAATAACTGGTAAAACACAATAAATGTTTTAACTCTAGTATAAAAAGAAGCAGTATAAAATGTCTAAATTTAGCATAATAAGGAAAGAAGTCTTAAAATCTCCAACTTTATCATGATGAAGAAGCAAGACTCGAAGACTCGAGAAGTGTGAAAACCCCTGACTTTACAATAGTAATAATAGCAGCAGGTAAAGTGTCTAGCGCGATATCAGAACAGGTGAATGGCACATGTATATTCAGCAGTTCTCATTGTACAGTCTGACACTTTGACTTACTGAGACTTAATATGGAGAGCTTATTCTTTATGTAACAGGATGCAGATCAGTGGTATCTCAACAGCATCTCAACTATATAGTCATTAAAACATGAAAAATGGTTTGTTTTCCCGCAGCCCCCTTGGACCAGCCGTGTTGCCGAGCGCTGTACGACTTCGAACCGGAGAACGAGGGCGAGCTGGGCTTTAAAGAAGGCGACATCATCACTCTAACCAACCAGATCGACGAGAACTGGTACGAGGGCATGATCCACGGCCAGTCGGGCTTCTTCCCCATCAACTACGTGGACATCCTGGTTCCGCTGCCGCACTAAACCAACGCTAAATGACAGCGCAACTTTCTCCGGTAACGATGACGAAAAACCGCAAATAACTACAACTACACCACCGCGTCCTCTTTCTCTCTCTACTCTAGTTCTGTGCTTTTGTGCGACACCCCCCCCCGCTTAGACACAAAATGGCCGCCATCGATCCGCGTGAGCCAAGATGGAGGAGGTAAGCGTTGTATGCAGTCAAAAGTGGATTATTGCAAAAGAGAAGAGGACAGCTTTCGGGGAGATTTTCAGACTTTCAGAAATGGCACGGTGTGGTCGTACGTGCATGTATGTGTCAGTCTATGTGTGTTTTCAAATGTTTTACTCCGGAATTGAAACAAAGCCAGCACAAATTCCTGCCTGACGGTCTTTTTGTGATGTCGTACTCTTTCTATCTTTCTTCTCAGCTGCATCTTAGAGCCACAATGACAGATCCTATGATATTTGAATTTGATGGTGACAAAATACCGGGTACAGGGCATTTTATGAATAAACGACATCATAATTTGGCTAATATACAGTAGTTCTCTGTCTTGATTCACGTTTTGGTAAACAAGAGAATGTGCAACGCCAAACCAACACCACATACAAACTACTTATACAAATACACTAAACAACGAGTTTTAAGATTGAGCTCTTGACTTAAAGATGAAATATTATGCTGTATTTTTGACAATAAGTTTGTGTAAGCCCTCAGTCGTACAGGGATTAGTCAAAGCAAAGGAAGGTTTCTCACCCATCATCTGTACTTCTTAGCAAGTTTTCCCGACGTTTCGTCCTCAATCCTAAGGACTTCTTCAGGGAATGAATTCTCAGACCGCGCGTTGGAGATTTATAATCTATGGGTGTGGTTAGCCACACCCTAATCCTGATACTAACTCATAAACAATCTAAGGTCTGTTTGATGTAGAAGGGAGCAGGTCTAACGACCCTGCTGAGGCTAACGACCCTAACTCATTAGCATGTCACAGACCTGCTCCCTTCATTCAAATTCAAAAAGCCGAAAAGCAGAAGTTAAATTTTTGCGGCAGAAGTTGACAATATTAGATCTAAAAACAGCTCCCAGTTCTGTTTTTTGATGAGGGAACAATGCTATAACATGATTAAAGGCTCAACAAAAGCTTCACTTGCATAATATATCTCCTTAAAGATTATTCTTTCAAATCTCTTGTCTTTGAGAAATACTATTGCTTAGGGTAATCCACAGTCTGGCACGAATCTCTCGAGACTTCATAGGAGACATGGTGGAGCTTAAAGCAGATAGAAAATTACTCAAAATAGTCCAACACATAATAACAATTGGAGTTTAAATTATATACATTCTGAAAGACAAGCCTTTTATAAAACCCAACATTGATTTGTGCAAAATAAAAGATCAAAATCATCACAAAGTCCATCTTCAAATATGGTAAGGCCCTAATAGCTCTCATCTTTTCTACTCTCTGCGCTCTTTGCTTGGTCCTGGATTTCTCAGTCTTCCTAAAACATTCTCTTCTTTCTCTTGAAAATCACACACAAAGCTACGGTTTTGGCGTATTTGATATTTTATAAAGTCTCCAGCAATCCGTGGCCTTTTCCACTTGAACAGGCGCATCTAACTCAAAAGCATTTTAGGCCGACAAGGTCACACTTGAGCTCAAAATGGATTTATTTTCATATGAAAGAACATTGTAACTGTGAGAAGCACTCGAAGAATTAACATGTCAGGTTGAATTTGAAATGAAGTTACGTTATGTTAAGTAACCTTTTCTACTTTACTCCAACATCCAATTGACTTTTTTCATTTAATCCACCATGACAGTTATGTGGAAAAAGTTACTTAATGTTACTTAACTGCACAATTATCCCAATCATTTTAGTTTTTAGAGTGTGTTTGGTTTGGCTAGTCCAAAAATTCATCTTCTCAACCTTGTTAATAGCTATATTGATATTTTTTTCAGTCAGTTTTCTATTCCTTAAATATTATAAAACGACATTTTACCATTATAAATACTAGCCCTACTATATTCTGTATGATATTAGTTATATGGTGGCATTAGCTTTGATGTTTCCAGCATTCCAAAGGTGAAGTTTACAATTGTTAAGCAGGAATCTATGTTAGCGTAGTCCAGCTAAATGTGGCTAATTGGTGCATTGATTGAGTGTTGATCAACTTTAGTATTACCAGGTTTGTTCACTATCTGCGACAGTATGAGAACGCAAGGCTAGCACAACTCTCATCCGCTCTTTCTATACAGTTTTTATTCAAGTTTATTTTCCCCCGTGTCCTATTTTTAAGAGGAATGAATTCAGTTTTTTTGTAAATATCACAAGAGCTACTTTATTCCTAGATGGCTGTCAATCACTGGTGTCACTGGTACTACGGCAGGTACTACTGGTACTACGGCAGGTACTACATATAGAGAAACTTGTATTGTGATTAGGGGTTCTACTGCTACTACTTTTATTACGACTGTGACTAACTTCCTACTACTGTTGGTACTAAGTGGTATAGGCATGAACTGGTACAAGTTGTGTTAACAAGGGCATCATGTTTTCAGGTCATTTCAATGTAATCTAAGTTCTTTCTTTTGTAAATTATGAACTGGTCACATTTTGTAACTACAAGGATCCGTTCACCCACGTCCCAACGCTGGTGTTTACTTAAACTTAGACTTAGACAGACTTAATTGATCCACAAGGGAAATTGTGTTGTCACAGTAGCCTAGTAGTGCCACAGTAGTATTTCACAATAAAAGATCAAAAATAACGTTAAAGTAACAAAAGCCTAACCCAAAAAATAATAATAATAACAAGATAATATTTGTGAGAATTGAATAATCTGGATAGAAGTACTCAGGAATATACATATCTGTGAATATGCACACATTTACAGTATAAAACAAAACGGCCGGGTTACAATAAAGAATCAAATTAGATGCGGCAACATGAGGTCAAATATATTTCTTCTTAAAACTCCTGCAATACTAAGTTTTTACTGCTACTAATACTACTACTACTACTACTACTACTACTATGTCTGCTTCAACTCCTGCTACTAAACTTCTATTACTTAAGACTACTACTACTGCTTCTAGATACTATTATGACTACCACTGTTTGTACTGCCCAACTGCTTTTATTAGCACTACTATCACTACAGCTACCAATATTACTACCACTACTACAACTTCTACTGCAACCTCTAGGAATGAACTAGACTTGTTACATAGAAAAAAATGTCTTTCCTCTTGGACATGTGGCCCAGACTACTATTCCTTATATTCAATAACAACACAATGCAATAAATACTACAAATACAATAATCCAATTACTCTAAACTTTGCCAAATATTTTCCGTCAAAACCCGCATAGTCTTTCACAAATTGTTGATAGTTTTGTGCATGTAATAAGCCTGGTTTGTAGAAGAATACACTTTCACGTTAACTGCTGTTGCTGTTCCCTCCCACCATGTTTCAGATTTCTGGAAAAGTGCTTTATACCATTGTCATTTTGTTTTTCGATTATTATATTTATTATTTATTGCTTCTCCGGCTGGATTTCATTTGAGACTGTTTGTGCCCTCTTCTGCGACACATATTCTAACCTCAATGAGGGACTTGTACAGTGTTATTTATTTATTGTTCCCGGGTTTCAAAACGCCGTCATTGTCAGACCACATCTATATTTTTCAAAAGCTCATGACCATTTTGTATGCAGATTTAAAGCAGTAAACATATTTAGTTATTGTTGGTTGGTTACTACAAGGGATGCATTGGGAGAAAATGTTGAATCATGTATTGGTTCTATGATATGGGCTTAGACAATATCCTTGTAATTGATGGAATTTACTTACTAGCTGATTTAAAACTTTTATTTTACTCTACTTGGTACTACCCAGGTCAAGCTGGTATTCTAACTGCCAGTGATTGGTCAGAGAGCTGCTGGAAGTGTAGAGTTTGCCATATCGCAGAAGAAACCAATTAGAGGTAACTCAAGCAAGCTTTATGGGCAGGAAATCTGGAGCTAAATGTGTGGATAGCAACGACCTAGCAACCAAACAGCCAATCAGGAGCTGCACTGCTCTGTCACCACTCATGCCACTCATTCACTGAAGCCAAATTTAAGGACAGAAAGCACAGGATTGGTCAGTTGTTCAGGATATATCTGAATTAACAAAGAAAATATCAAAATGAAACATCAGGGTCAAACAGAGCCAGTCAAACCATGGATTTTTTTTGCCCAAAATGGTGAGTGTGACACATACAGTCACCAGATATATTTATTGAAAGGCAACCGGGTAGCGAGGATCGAGCCAAGTAGGGCAGAATAAATAACTGTTAAATAAAACAATTGGAACCATTTTGAAATAAGAAAACTGGACAGAAAATAGCCATACCCAGCTAGCTTGATGCATCCCTACTAGTTACTACTAATCCTCCGTCATAAGAATGTCTATACTGGTTAAATAAGTCGAATAAGTAAATGATGAACTAATATGACTTTCATACTCCACCAGACGTACAGTATATCGTTATCGTGAATTGTCTAAGGCTCTGATTGTTTGTATTTCAAAAGGAAAGTGGTCTGACAGTGCTGTGTAGCGTTTACTGTCCGCCTCTTGGCTGTGTAAAAATGCCCTTTGCCTCTAAACCTGTAGATTCCCGTGAACTCTGAGTATATGAGGAAATGTACACACTGTCAACACGGCAAAGATATGATTATTTATTTATTTATTTAAGTGTCATAATTGGTGGTTTTACTGCTCCACAAAGACGGCACAATGGGACACCGTTTGTTTCTGTTGTATCCTTGGTTTACAGTTATTTATAAACGTGGGTATTGCTTAACTCTTTTATTATCTGTCTGTTTGACTGCAGTTATAGCCTGGTTTAGTCCTGAACAAGTCTGGATTTTACGGTTAAGTGCCAACCAGGTTTATCAAATCGTATAGGAAGGTTCATCTTGCCTTCTCTGTAGAAAAAAAGGTATTTGGTTCTTCTATAGCAGACAATAGTATAATAGCAATGTTAAAAAAAATAACCATTCATTTTTGGTCTGGATCACTTTAAAAAGTAATATGTATCTTAGTGGTTTAATGACGCCATTATAAGTACAATCACACACGTGTTGCCAGAGTCTTCCTGGCTGTGACACATGTTGCTTCTAAGCACTGATTACTGGTGCAAACATTTGCTGGGGTTTAGCTAGAAACAGTAGACATACATGTTTTGCATAAGACTGCTACAAAAAATATGAAGCCAGATGAACAAAAATCTCACCTAACAACAATGAATTTGTCTAAAAACCTTGATAAATATGTGTCGTAAGCTTACTGATCAAATCCAAATACATTCACAAGTTTACGTTTATGTTATTATTATATCCCCTGTGTCTTTGTGGAGCAGATAAGGGGTTGTTGGTTGGATTCTAAGGCAGGGTATATGAGGCGTGGTCATTGAATAGCTGTGATTCTAACTGTTGCTCTCTTTGTATTGGACAATGATATTTAAGACCACTGTATGTATCTGCTTGTCGTGAAGATGACTACAATAAAGATATCACTATGACAATGTAATGCTCTTTCTGTCGCTTTTCTTTTAGGATTTTCCGCTGCGGTTACACAACTCAAAATGTGAGCACCCTGCTAAAACTGAGGGAGCAACGCTTGAATCAAGTTAATTTTGATTAGCAAACATTTCTTACTTCAAGGACAGTAGTAATTTCTTTAATTTCAAGAGAATTTGCTCATCTCTTAAACAAATTAGAAATCTTTGCTTGTCTCATTGTTTTTGGACTGACAAAATGTACTAAATTCATGACAATGTAATCTAATTCAAGCTAATGTTGACTTATTTTCTCAGTTTTCCAGTGTAGAAGTAGCCTGGTCGTACCACACCATAGTACAGATTACATGCAGTGAAATGATGATTGAGCGGAGTGTACGGATGGCTAAGACCAGGCTAGTGTAGAAGGGCATAATAATAAAATGGTACTAAACTTACTATTCATCAATAAACTACATTATAATGTCCTATCCCTGGAAGTCAGAATCAACAGCTTTTTATTGCCACTGTTTATTATAACAGTAAGTCACAAAATAGGAATTTGCTTTGGCTCAGGGGACAAACAAGTTATAAGAGAATAATATATGGTCCACAATAACCATGAAGTCTTTGAACGTAGTCATTCGGATTTCACAAAGGACTAGTGAGATTGTATTATGATTATCATATTATGATTATTTATGCGTGTGTATCAAAAAAGGCCACACGAGGGCGCTCATGTTTGTTTTGACTATGCGCAGTTTCCCTCCAAATCTTGCCTTCAAGGGCTCCTGGAAAACGCAACTATTTTTATGCAAGCGCGTCCCTTGTGACAAACAATTGACATGTATCCTGGTTTTCAAAATAAACAAGAACGTAAAAGAGCAGATTCACGTTTGTGGATACTATAAATGTATGTTTGTTGAAATTATCTTCATGTTCTTGGCTTTGTGATTTGTGTGTAGGGTTTTCACAACATTAGGAACTACAGAAATTAAAAGTATTTTAAATCTACATGAATGAGGTGTATTTGTGTGTTGGTGAGTTCTTCTATGACATATGATTTTAATGCAGATTAGTACCGTAATTACATTGGCGGGATGAAGATGTATATGTAAAACATCCGAGTGTCTTTCAACGCACCAAACGGTTTGACCCATTTTTCACACGAAGCCCAAACGTTTCATAAAGTTGGAGTAGATGCGCAGCACCCGCGGGGAAACTCTACTTTCAGAATACAATACGACTTATGTCTTGATTTTATGTAACATGGCCCTATTTAAAACATATATATACAAGCACTATTTCAAATGAAGTAATTAGACGAAGAAATGTCGGACCTCGGAAGCTAAGTCGAACTGGGCCTGGTTAGTACTGTGATGAAAGACCTTTGGGAATACCGCGTGGTTGCTTCTGTCAGTCTGCCACAGGGCAGCTGTGGCTACACTATCGGTTTATCACCATTGTGGATGGACTGAATGAATCTTACCATGGAAAGCATATTTGTCATCTAAACCTGACCAACTCGCATTTGGATAACCTAAGTCAACTGTCACAACACAAATAAAGCGGGAACGTTTTGATTACTGTGTTTGTCTGTTCTTCAGTTGCCTGTGTAATCTAGGTAATAATTAAAATCATCAAAATGTTTTTACTTGAAATGTAAAGTGCCTTATTATTATTATTATAACGACACATTGCATTACTTGGGGGAAAAACATCAAAGTAAACTAAAAATTGAAATTGTGTGTGTCATACTTAGGAAGTTTCCAATCAAAGCTTAATTGCATGGGCTGATTGTTGCATTATTGTTCACTTCCCCTCACATGTAAAGAGTCGGGATTGTTGTCACGAAGCTTTATTGTGAAAAGGCGGCGCCGGAAGCTCTCTCTATCCTCCATCTGCCTTCACTGCGGCTCCTCGTGTTGTTTCCGAAGAGAGCATCAAGAAGAACCACATTACGACCCAAACTCAGACCAAAAACAGTCGAAAATGGAGATGAAAAAGAGGCTTTCGCTGGAGTTGAGGCACCGGTCCCCTTCGGAGGTGAGTTGTGCGCTATTTTCTGCGTAATTTATCCGTAAACCCGGTTTAGTCGTGTTGGAGGAGGAGTCTTTGAGCACATGGCTTATTTCTGCGCCCTTTGAAACGACAAAAATCATCTGCAAAGCTCGAATCTATCAGCAACCGCGTGTTCTACTATAAATGTTGACAAGTTTTACGATTGGGAAAACAAACACTCCAGGTTTTACGCACGCAGCCTGGGTTTACGCGCGGTACTCACTCGCTCGATAACTGCAAGTCACAGCTCGGTTATAGCCTACTTTAAGATCGGCGTGCTAAACTTTCAAACTGACCTTTTGATTGTACTTACGTCAATAACACGACAATAATGCAGTTAATTTCTGTGCAAGATTAAACAAAGTATGCTCTCGGGCCCGGTTGGTTTCTGGCGCCTTGTTAAGTTTTATTGCTAGATCTAGTCCTGCTGTTCTTTGGAATATATTTTATTTTTGGCTTTAAATATACCATTTTGAATGGCTTATGTTTATGATCATATGAAACGCATTAAAAATCTTTTAAAATGTAACACTTTTTCCAACATTGTTTTTTACGCATAGTTCACTACTTATCATTGTGCTATTTTACCATATGCAATGTGTTTTTAGGCGATGTCCAATATTTGTTAATGGATCAAATCGATAGTTGCGCTTGCTCTTAACAAAAATAATCGTATGTATCCAGAGCTCAGCGGTAGCACAAGTACGAAGGCGCGTAGCTACGTAACGCTAGCTTTAATGCCATTATGCTAGGCTAGTTAGCTAAACCCCTACATTTTCAGTCTTTTATGTCCACATATGGATATTTTTACACGGGTATTGTTTTACAAGATAAAGCACTAGGATTGTTAGAAAATGCAGACTGTATTAAATAAGTGTACATTTTAAAGGAAAGAGCAAAAAGTTCCATAAACGTGAGTTAGCTATGTGGCTAAGGGCAACAACACTTATAGAGTTTACTAATGGCAGGTGGATGGGTCGGACACATGCACTGCCAGATCAACCAGTACTGTCGTATTTGTTACACATTTTCTACAAAATAATTAGCACTTTTCACCTTCCGTTTAATAATTTATTGTTCGGCTGAAAACCAGTGGGGTAAACAAGTCGCGTAATCTCACAAGCGATATAAATGATCAACATATGCTTACTAAAGTGTTTGGTCAATACCTTTGTTTCTTTTTTTTTTCTTGGATACATTTTTAGGCTGTTTTCAGAGGCTTAAATATTTAGGGGCTTTCTATATGCAGTCTGGTGTTTTCCTTTTACAACAGAAGTGCATTTGAATGTTTGTGGTGACATGATGACGGTTTTTATGTGGTGTGAAAAGCAGTTATGAGTGCGACCATAGAGCGCTGTATGACTAAATGTACATGTAACATTTGCCTATTTTTGAAAAGGAAACTAGTAAAGGATTATAAGATAGTATAGATTCTGCATTTTTTTTATATTCTCCTTTTTGATGCAATTTTAGATGAAGGAGCTGGTTCTGGACAACTGCCGCTCGAGTGAAGGGAAGATCGAGGGAATCTCAGAAGAGTTTGCAAACCTGGAACGTCTCAGCCTCATCAACGTAGGTCTGACCAGTGTCGCAGAGATCCCCAAACTTCAAAAACTTAAAAAGGTATACTGCAATGTCACTTAATCTTGCATTTATTTTGCCATATGGATAGATTGATACTTACTGCTCTTATGACGCATTCACAACTACCTAGCTCTGTATTATTTGTGTACTCCTACCACTGTCCTGTCCTGTCTATTCATTGAAAGATGACTATAAAAATGAAAAAGATTAGAGGGACTGTTGTCCTGGCTTGGGTTCAATGTATTAATTCTAAAAGCTGTGTGTTGAATATTGAAACTTGAATCATATATTTAAGTTTGCGTTTTGTGATGTAGTTAGAGCTGAGCGACAACAGGATATCTGGGGGCCTGGAGGTGCTGGCTGAGCGACTCGTGAACCTCACACATCTGAACCTCAGCGGAAACAAGTTCAAAGACATCAGCACCCTGGAGCCTCTGGTGAGAGCTGCATTTCATTCATCCGCCTCAGGAGCTCACCACTAGCAGAGTCTGTAAAGATGGGACCAGATTTCACAATATAACATCGATTATAGATTTTGCACACCTTATTCACTCATTTACCATTGGCACAGGCAAGTGTTAAGTGCTGTGGGGGGAGGCACACATTGAGAATATTTAGCTCTTATATCATTGCTTGGCCAACTTGACGGCATCCCTAGGGCTTTCGAGTGTTATCCTGCTTTGTACGTTCTTTGGTTTTCTTCCTAAAATAGCAGTGGAATTTGTTGTTTGAACAGAAAAACAAAGCAACAAAAACAATGACTTGGGGATTTTATACTACTCTCATTTAAAGCATCTTTTACACATATACAGAAACTAGGACTTACTATGAACAAAATAACCCTTGCAGAACATTTCGCATTTCAATTTTCAGTGGTTTAAAAAAAAAACGTTGACCACGCCTTCAATGGGTGGAACAAAGATTGAGCCTTCTGCTCTCGCTAAAAATCCACCTCCAAAAACATGGAAAAACAATCAAGCTACATGTAACTCTCCGTGCTTCCTGCCAAAGTCACATGATGCAGGGAGGGAAATGTTGACCAAATAAGTCATGCTTTTTTTCCCTCACTATTCCAGCAATAACATGGAAATTCATCATCATTGTGCTCAAAGATCCTTCCAAATGCGATGATTCTAAATCTTCCTTCAATTTGAACTTTAACTTGGACTACTGTACGGGAATCTTCAAATGCTTGTTTTGCTTTCAATTTGGGCACAAGATGCAGTGTTTTTAAATCTTCTAAAAGTTTTTTTCCCCAAGTTGAGATGAAATTGTACAGACACAATTTCCACAACACACTATTCGCCAGTAAACACTATTGAAAAGAAAGTGGCCTCTTTTGACGCTTCCAATGATGGCTATATTAAATTGTGGAGGTCTATTTCATATCTATTTGCCTGCAAGGTTTGGGACCCCTGAGTCTTTTCCTTTCCATATTGGCCACTTCTACTTTTGAACATAAGTGTGTCTTGTTCTCTGTAGAAAAAGTTGCCTCAGCTGAAGAGCCTGGACCTGTTCAACTGTGAGGTGACGAACCTGGCGGATTACAAAGAGTCCATCTTCAAGCTCCTCCCTCAGCTCACGTATCTGGACGGATACGACATCGATGACTGCGAGGCGTCCGACTCGGAGGGCGACGGTGTGGAGGATGAGGAAGAGGATGAAGGTGTGTTTCCGTCAGGTTCGGGAGCTGTGCCCCCAGAAGGAAGAAACATTCACTCTGAGCTCGTATGGTCCAAGCTGCAGGTTTAGGGTTGGGCTAAACGGCATTAGGAAAGTCTCTTAAAAGCAAGTCAACCAATGACGAACATGGGAGGGGGAGGGGTTTAAATACAGTTAGTGCGTGCGGTTTGTTGAATATACAGTTAATTCATTGGCTAAAGAGTCATGTGAATTAACAGAATGTTTGCTGATTTATATTAGCCTTATCTGGCTGTGGTATGCTAGTTGTTTTTCCTGAAGTCTTCTGACCTCAGTGTTTTATCAACACGCTTTAGCACAACTGAGCTGCCCACAGTAACGTTTTTTAAATGTTATGAAAGTTGTATATTAGGTTATTCTATATCTCGCATTTACATTTCAGAATTATCATTTTATTACTCATGTTTGCAATGTTTTTGTTTCAGAGGGAGAATCTGACGAGGAGGACGATGAGGAAGATGTTGTGGCTGAAGAGGATGATGATGACGATGACGAAGATGAGGTCAGCATTAACTTTTTACTGAGAAAAAAGTTACAGAATGTTTGCCATGATGTGGACACAAGATTTAACTCTACTGTGTTTTTTGTAAAGGACGGAGAGGTGAACGGTGATGTTGACAGTGAAGATGACGACGATGATGATGACGATGAAGAGGATGGTGAGTCACTCTTAACTTCTCTTTGCACCATATCATCTTTTTATACTTTTATTCCGGATTGTGAACTGAGAGGAAGGCGTTCACTTATCGAGTTCCGTTGAAAACACAAGTACAGACTTGTGCAAAAAGATCTGACGATATCCTTGAACCTTCCCCAAAAGGTCAAAATGTGACTTTCAAGAATCTTTTCTTTTTGAGGATGCAAATGTTGGCCAGGGTTCTAGCTTCTCTAATCGCACCATTTACGCACAGCTTTTTGACCCGATTCCAAAAGATTCTATTGGAGGACTGGAAGGGAGGCTGACTTTTCACTTTATTCTCATGTTGATTCTACCACAACATTCTGTCTATGGCGCTAATGTAGCATTGGAGAGGAGGTAAACATTTGTCATTCAGCCAGCTTCAGTTTTGTCAAATTAAATGGGAATCGTTATGGACAAGCCCAAAATAAGTCATAAGTGTTACTTGTCGGTTACATAAAGTATTCCGCTTACTAAAACTTAATGGTATGTATGGATATTCTACCAATTAAAAAATGTAATATGTATACAAATTATTAGCTCGGCCTCACACATCCCCTTGTGCTCTGTGGATCAGTCTGTTCATGAAGCCGGTTTGCAGCTAACGGCGTTCCTTAGTGATTTTGGCAAAGTAGAAGGGCTGTGAATGCAAACAAACATCTGTGTGGGTTGCTCAGAACACCCGTGAAAGACAGTAAAGGAACGGCATAACACTAATCGCTGTCAAATGGGGAAAAAAAAACGTAGATCTTTTTTGACACTTCTTTCCGAACAGGCGTCAATGTGAACGCCACCTATTAGAGAAAAAAAAAACTGGAGACAGTTTGTAACTGTGTGTTCCTGTGCACAGATGAGGACTCGTCTCCGACCAAAGGAGAGAAGAGGAAGAGGGACGGAGACGGGGACGACGACGAGGATGATGACGACGAGGACGACGAATAAAAACCTTGTGACCTCCCCATGACCACACCCCCCGCATCACATGACTTTCTTAAACACCCAAATATGGCCGCGCGCAGTCACCACCTCCTTCCTCGATTTAAATTTGACCTCCAGACCGCGAAAGGAACCAAATGAAATTTAGCTTTACCAACGATTTCGCAGGCAAGCGCGTTGTCTTTAGCGCTCTTGACTCCCCCTACTGGCAGCTTAAAGTATAAGGACAATGATTCCAAAACGAGTGTAATATTTTTTTGCATATATTAAAGTGGTAGTTCTGTATTTGTTAAAGTGGTCTTGGAAACGTTATAATAATTGTTTTTCCTTCAGTAATTACTCGTTGAACAGTTCACGGAGCGATGGCACAAGCTTGTTATTGTGAAATGGCTTTTATTGGCTGCTAAATCTCCCTCCAGTAAGAAAAAAAGATTTATGGCAATTTTTATTTTTACATTTTTATTTTGATCTTCATTTATGCAACTCCAGAAAGAAGGCTCTCTCCAAGCTCAAATACTGCGGCATTAAACCCAAAAATGGAGAATGTGTTTTATCAGCAGCTATTGTCGTCCTAATTATAGAAGTGTGCAAAATAAATTAAAAGCAGGACAATCGGCTTCTGTCAGAGCTCCCGTCTTAACGTGTATTTACTGAAGGCAAGGAGTAGTGTGGAAAAGTACAGTATAAAAACAATAAACTCCATTATCCGATTATCCCGTTTTCTTTTGAGGCCGATCGTGCTCAGGGCAAACAGTCTTCTCTTACTCTTTCGCCAAAACGAGAGCTTTTAAAATACTATTTTTGCAGAAAAATAAGATTTTGTTGAATATGCTTTTGTGTGGTTGTCAATCCGTTCACGTATACACTGACTGGCTTTTGTTTTTGTTGTGATTTCTTTTTTACTTTTCTGTAACTTAAAGGAAAATTCAATTAAATTCTCAAAGGACTTTGTAAATAAAATCTTAACATTTTTGTGACACTGTTGCCGTCTGATTTTTATTCTCAAATCTTTTACTTTGACTGTTATCCTGACTGTGGTTTTATTGTTTTAAAGCTGGAGTACCTGAGCTTTATGAGTAACACAAGTTTGTCCCAACAAATAGTTTTGTAATGTAACCTGCTGTATTCATCCTTTATTAGTTAGTGTCATCTTTTGCAAACTAAACCCAAAAAGTTTTGGGATGATTAAGTGAAGGTGGTCACCTCTTACACTTCTGTCCAAAAAAGCTGATATAAATGTTGAACAAAAAAAAAACGTGTGAAAGCTAGACCTAAACTGGAGATAAAGGAACTAGTTGAGTTTTAGTGAATTTTATGTTAAATGTCTGAAAGTTTGTTCCTCTCAGCTTTAAGTTTACTATAGTTTATTTATTGGTGTAATAACTTTGGAGCCTACGTTTAATGCTGTCATTAAGCTCGTCTTTAAAACAAGTTCCCCCTGAAGGCTATTCCTGTAGTGTGTGTCACAGCATTTCATTGGTGGACAGCAGATGTAAACTCATTATAGAAAAAAAAAAGATGGGTATGAACGAGCACCAACCAGATCACACCAGGAATAACTTTTTAACCAAAGTAATCGAGAAAAAAGGGAAAACTAGTGCATTCCTAAACCTTGGCAGGGGATACAAATGTCTATTGTTTTCGTTCAGCATTCTCTACATGTAAAAGGGCGACACCTGGTGAAAGAAAGCTGTATTGCAACAAGATCAAAAGTCTTAATACTGAACAGTTAAAATCTGTTGCACTGAAAATTGCGGATTTCAGAATGAAGCCCTCATGTTGTTTCTTGTGATTTTGATTTCTACTTCAAGTTGGGAAATTCTGTCCTGCAACACAAAAAAGAAGCGTTGATAATATTACAGATTACCTCTATACATAGTTTTTATACCTCTCTCTGATTGAGTTGCTCTCGTAGCTCTCGTATCTCTTCCTGCTGTTTGTAAAACGCCTGCAACAGCTGACGTTAGAATTAAAGAAATGATTAGGCGTCTGTAGGGAAATCATGTGTTAACCATAGCACTCACTTTGAATGTAATATTGCATTGGGGTAAAACTGGGGTGCCTCACTTTTTGGGGTCATTAGTAATACACAGTGTTTGTCCCGATAGATGCTGTCTTCATCTTATTAGAAAACGTTTCCATACTCGTAAACATAGAGCCCTGTGAGTCACTATTTGACTCTTTGGGCTGAGAGCTGAAATAGGGTGGTTTTATGTACGGAATAGGACTAAATAGGTCTAAAGATGTGACAGAGGCCAAAAATACATCCAGGTGAAAACTAGTGATAGAGCAAAATTTTGAGACTTAAGTAACGCAGCTTTAAATTGTCCATTTCCTCCTTCATTCAAGCAACGTTATTGTTTTTAAGTTCAAGTAGTTTTACTCCAGCCTCCAGTTCCTGTAAATTACTGGACTGCCTTACATTAATACGGCCTAAAACAATGACATTTCGAGCTTGGTGTGTACATTTTCAAGCCTCTGAACCTCTGGCTCAGAGTTGGAGTATTTCTTTGGTACCTGTGGTTTTGAAGTATTATTTTGTGTCGTGCTTCTGGTTTAGTGTTGCAATATTCCATTTCTCCATTTCTATCTATATTATTTTTGTGTAGAGTTTTATTAATTTATCGTGTGCTGCGTGCTCCTCATCCGTGCTGTCTGTAACTTGCAACACTGACATTTCTAGCCTGGCTCAAGACCGAACTTCAGCCCCGCCTATATTCCCGCTGAAATTTTATCTAGGCGCGACTAAATGTTGTCTAGAGCCGGGCTGAGAAATGTCCTCACTGTGAGACTAATAAAGAATCTCTTAATCTTAATCTATTTCTATAGTACCTTTGGCTCCATATTTGGGTATTTTTCTCCACTGGCTCAGTTTTTGGGGTATTTCTGTAGTACCTCTGGCTCAGATTTATGGGGTATTTGTGTGGTACCTCTGGCTCATATTTATGGGGTATTTGTGTGGTACCTCTGGCTCTGAGTTGGGGGGAGGCCTCTCTCTGGGCTCGCAGCAGTGCGGGGTGCAACAGTACGACCACAGCGGCAGAAAAGTCTCGTCCACCGTCCAGTCGGAGAGATCGCACACGTCGTGAGAGAACTTCAGGTCCTGGTACGACAGCTGCTCCTCGTAGAAAGCCTGGACATGAGAACATAAGTTTGTAGAAGTTCATTCAAATGTCATTCAAAACACTTCCACAAAATTTAAAACACTTCTACAGACTTAAAAAACAAATGATCATGTATTTCCATGCCAAAGATGCTGGTTGAAATGCTAAGTCCATGTGCTTATGTTATACTTCAGAGTACCTCAGATCTCTCCCCATCATTGACTTTGATAAGAGTTCCATGGCTTTGTCCTAGGGAAGGGCACCTGAGTTACATATTTTTCTACTTCCCATCAGCAGCACCCACTTCCTCTGTTCTCTGTATTTTACATTTGTTTATTTGGATAAGGCAGTGTGTAGTAATGAAGAGCAGGAGCTGTAAATTCACTAGAAGGTAGCACTAGAAGGGGGCATTTCCATGTCTCACATGTTTTTAGTGGTAAGGCAAATCGGAGCGCCTGAAAGTAATTTACACATACACGGGGAGAACATGCTAACTCCACTCAGAAAGACACTGTTCCGACCGGGTTTCAAAAGCAGGACCTTCTTGCTGAGAAGCGAGAGTGCTATCCACTCAGCCGTGCTAAAAAACTGCGATAGAAACCCATTTAAAATTGTCTGCTCTTACATTGTTTTTTATGTAATTTGTAATAATTTACTCAAGTAAGAAAAACCAGAAATGCTTAAACCAGTGTAAATATGCTCTTCATGAAGTGGTTGTGGTACCTCCTCTATGAAGCCCATGCCGGCGGGTGTCAGTGCGGTGAAGTCCGGCTCCATGTGGATGCACTGGGAGCTGAGCTGCCGGTTCAGCCCACGCTCAGGGGCCAGTTCTGGGTATGGGTTAGTCACTCGAGTCCCTGGCTTCAGGGACATGAGAACAGGCCCTGATGAAGGCAACCACACTTATGGAAATATACTAACTAAAGCAACACCACATCTGAAATCATACACATGCTTGTACCTCTAGTTTAAAATACAAGATATTATTATAGCCAGAACCAGAAGACCAATGGAAATCCAGGCTCATAAATTAGGCCGACCACACTTGATAAAATTGTACAGATTTGAAGCGGTTGTACCTTTCAATAGAACTATGCAATAAAATCCATCTTAGTTCTGTTCCATTCTTAAAACCTCTTTGACCTTAAAGTAGCACTAGTTCTTCAACAGTAGTTCAGCCGAGGCATTTGGATTTCTAAATGCCTCGGGTTGAGCTGATCTCACTGGAAAGTAACATTTGGCCGCAGGACTGAAAAAGGTCTCGTAATGAATCATAAACGACAAAACAGGGAATAAGGAACAAGGAAATCTATCTTTGTGAAAAAGGTGTTATAGATGTTATAGGTTATAGATTTGTTGTTGACCAAACTCTCTGTCTATTCAAATATATGTTCCTAGCTGGATTCGTCTGCATATCTGGCAACCTGAGTCAGGGCGAGTGGGAGAGGTTGCAGTACCACTTTTGGCCAGATTTTTACATACTGCTCCTTTAAATCTTTTGTCAGCCAATCAACTCTCAAACCGTCACTAGATGAAATGTTTCCTTTCAACATGAAGACTGCATGTTGTCGTTTTAATACAACAAACTGCATTATTTATGAGAACATATTTACCAGCTTTAAAATTAAATTAGAAACTTCTTATCCTTTCACTCTGTACCTCTGTTGACCCCTGAGAGCCACTCTTGAGCCGTCATGGCCGCCTGGTTTCCTGCTGTAGGTGGGTACAAGTCTTCATGGAAAACACCAGGCTGGATACAAAAAGTTAAAGCTGAGGTACCTAACTTTAAAACCATAAATAATATAACTATGAAAATAAAAACATGTACTAGTTCCTCACTGTCAAATTAGTTTCCAGGTGGATGTATTTTGGGAGTCTGTCACATCTTTTGGTCAACTTTTTCAGACAGAAAAGTGAAAAATAGCGGACCACCCTCACCCAGCCAATCAGCTCTCAGCCCAAAGAGACCAATAGTGACTTATTTCTTATACAGTTTTGGTATACATGAGATAACATATTTTCTAATAGAATGAAGACAGCAGGTTGTGTTCTGATTTGTTCTCAACATTTGACTTTTTCAAGAATCTTTCTGTTGGAACAAGGTGAAAAAAGTATTCTTTAGGAAAAATGTAAGGTAATCCAGCTTTAATTGCAAATTGTAGCTTTAAAAAAAACACAAAAAGACATAAAATAGTGTTTTGTATAGACATGGATAGTTGTATTTTTATGGTATTTCTGTTTTTGACACTTAAGATAAAACTATGAAAAATTAAAAATAAAAAAGATTGCAGAAGGCACCTCTTTTCTGGGGACGATCATGGACAGTGGCTCCACCAGATCTTTGACACAAATCAGGCGATAAAACCGGTAAACTTCACAGGCTTTTACGTTCAACCCACGTTTTGGCATCACCCCTGTCATAACAATAATACATAATAATAATTCGAAGAAGAAATATCATGCAGTATTTTGACAGTAAAAATGATTATGAGCCTATTTACTTTACTTACTAACCCTAACCACTATCATTTCATGTTTTAGAATGTAATAATATCTTGAGTAGAAAACATGTAGTGAAACCAGTGTGAAGGATAAGAAAGGCTTCCATGCTACCACTTCAGGGAGGAGCTTAAATTGTTTTAGTTTTTATTTCCAGATTCAAACATTACCGGCTGCAAACGTCATGCAAATGTAGACTATGTAATTTAACTTGAGAAAATGCCATAGTGGTACAATGACATCATACTATTACAGAACTGAGCTTTTAGACAGAAGGGGCGGAGTCACATGTTTGTACCAGAAGTCTCTGATGGATCTAAAAACAACTCCAGGACTATTTTTGACCATGTTGTTCCAATGATTAAAAGCTCACAATTTGGATTTCGCATAATATTTCGACTTTTAAGATGTCTGCTCATATGTTGGTACAGGCACAGCTCACCCAGGCCTCTCTGTGGCAGCAGGGACCTGAACTCAGTGAGAAATCGGACGTAAGGCTTTTCAGTGCTCAGCTCATAATACCGAATGTTCCCATCCCCCTAGGATACATAAAAAAACACAGAATCACAAAACAGACCCTTTTTAAATGAACGAAACCTCGATTGTCCCGAGGGGAATGTGACTTTGATATGTAAATACACACAGATCAGACCTTTCCGGCAAGATAAAGCATGTTAGTGTCCTGGTCATAGAAGGGGAACAGGACTCCGGCCGCCCCGTCCAGCTCCTCCTCATACAGCGGCTCGGACAGGTCCTCCTGGGGATCACACACAAGAACTATTGTGCCAGTGTGCCGTGAAATCTTTTACAGATCTGATTCTGATGTTCAATGCTCGGATTATTATGTAGTTTTGCTTTACATTTTGATTTGATAGAGTTCACGTGACATCACAGCTTGAAGGCCAATACTATCAAACCTTGGCCTTTCATGGGTCTATTCCTATGAAGCAGAAGCCTTGATATTTCTTTTAAAAATAGATATTTTCCTGTTGTAGACCTCTATTCTCTGCCTGACGTCATCTCATATACATACTCATGAGTGAGAAGAGAAATTAGCACTTTATTCATCCAAAGCATTCACAATTTCAAAACTTATTTTGAATGTGAAATCAACCCTGAAAGTGTATTATTATCATTGATTAATGGAGTAATAAATATTAACTATTACACATGTAACGGTATATACTGTTATTTTCAAGTATGATTCATATTTCAAATCAAACAAACTAAGTTATTGTTAACTATTATTGTAGCTAAATCAGATTTTCGCCTTCAGAGCAGAGTTGGCAAAACGCAGAAGTAGTAACGTAGTGTAGTTATGTGAATGAACGACAACATTGTAATAAAAGATTTTCTGATATCTATTCATTCGAATAACTACTTTCCGACCTAATCAGTTATTTTATATTTCTAAGTATTTTATTTCAAATGACTAAAACCACTATATTCTATATATTTATGTATAATATCATAGTTCCGCACATTACAGCAGAACAAAACACATCCAATAGGATCTATTCAAGATAATAGATAAAACAATAATAATAATAATAATGCATCAAACTTATATAGCGCTTTTTTGGACACTCAAAGACGCTTTACAAAACACATAGAAATAAACATTGAAAAACAAAATTAAGGAAAGGGAAGCTGAAACAGGTGGGTTTTTAGGAGAGATTTAAAGTTCTGTAGTGAGTCGGGGTTTCTGATTGGTTGAGGGAGTGAGTTCCAGAGAGTGGGGGCAGTTGCAGCGAAGGCTCGGTCCAATAACAACAAAATAAGACCGTAAACTCTGGAGATATAATTGCACTTAAGTCACGGTTAAGTCATTTGTGGAGCATAGACTGCAGCAGCAGCTTGGATGAGCAGCAGTCATGATGTTTCTGATTTATTTACAAGAGGTTCTGTCCCTCACATGTATAAAAATGTGACATCACACGCACGTTAACGGCCTTTAAAGCTGTACCGTGTCCCACAGAACCATCTGCCTCTGGTTCCACGGGGAGCATCCTGTGGACAGCAGCATCCTCTCACTGATGAACAGCACTTTATTGGCTCTGTGCTGCCCCCTGCTGGACACCTGCAGGATCTGCCCCGTGCGTGGGTCCAGGGTGCGCACGCGTCTGTCTTTGGAGGTCACGGCCAGCGCGCTCCCGTCCGCGCTGAAGCTCACAGAGAGGAGCAGGGCGTCTGCGGGACAGCGGCTCAGGAGAGGCCCCATGAGCACACGCACTGGAGACCGCAGCACTGAGCCAGGCTGAGACAGGTCCCACAGGAGCACCTGGACACACGCACACGCACACACCCACACACGTACACACACGCATTTTTCCCTCATCAAAAACAGGCACAAACTGGTAACTCCGCTCCTTCTGTCTAAAAGCTCCTGTCTCAGACCTGTAATAATTAGATTTCATGTGGCTCACTCAAACACATATTTCCCCTAAATTTGTTTCTCAGGTGAAATGAGAATGAGTATTTCTGTATTTGGAATCGCTAATTTATAATTTTGGAAAAAAGAAAACAAATTCAACTCCTCCCTCTGGTGGTAGTAGCGGGAGTTACAGACAGTAAGTATTTTTACCCTTTGCCGTATATATTCTGCTTAAGAATATAGACATGTTCGCATTCAAAAACAATCTCATTGTCATATTAATGGACAAAGAGAATGCATCATATTTCTGCTTCTTTAGGACTCATTGAGGATGCATTATAAGGCCTGATCTGACCTAATCAAGTCCTTAAGAGTCCAGGATGTAAACAAACTCATTGTGTCCTCAACAGATCAGCAATGATTCTAATCTATTCCATGGCGCTGCATAAGGAAACTTGCCCCACATCAAGCTTCCAGTATGTTCCAATACCCCTCTATGGCTACCAATCTACTAAACGAATGTCTTTGATGTCTAACCATTTGTCCCTCTTCCCGTCTTTGAAGCTTTGTAAAACATCATAAAGCTTATCTCCTCCTGCTGAAACACTGGTATTGTCACCTTTTCACCTTTCAAATGTAAATACAGTAAACACACAAGCTATTGATGGAAATGGGTTGGCTCCTCAAACGAGAGGGCACTTGCCGCCTACACCACTCTCACACTCTTTGTAAATTTCAGAATTTGAATCAGTATGAATGTACCAACAATGAAAGGGCTAAAGGTCGAAGCTGATCTATTGGCGCCGTCGCAGATGCTGAGAGGAGGATCCTTGATTTGACCAATTTATAATCACATGTACGCTGCAAAAATGTGGTCTTTTTACCAACAATACAATGTTTTCTGCTGTGACTCACCTTGTAGTCGTAGGCGGAGCTCAGCAGGAGGTTTTCGGCCGTCGGGTGCCACTCGATGATGGCCACACGTCTGGAGTGGCCCACCAGAGTCTTTGTGGCCCAGGTCAGGTTCCGCTGCACCCCACCCACCGGGATGTCCCACACTTTCACCTGAACATTATGCAAAATATACATTAAACAACAAATATAAACACAGAGCTTTTGTTTTTTGCGTCCATTTCTACTTAAAAAATACAATAAGATGCAGGAAATATAAGGAACGAGTTATTATGTGATTATGCGCTCTCTTTTTATAAGTGACTCCGTTAAGATTTAGTAGCTATAGGGCAGAAAAATGTCAAAATAAAAACATGGTCAATGAGTCATGACATGAAATCTAGCCGCTAGGTGAGTGACTGCTTGCCTCATTGTGGTGTTTGAGTGCTTTGATCACCGTGAGTCAACTGTGCATAAAAAAGTTATTGTAATTAAATCATGTTGCGTCCAGTTGAAACAGTCGGCTCAGTTCTGCTCTGTTAGCTTTGAGTTAAGTGTTGCATTAAAACATGAAAACCTGCATCTTATATTCCAGTGCAGCCTATATGTGGACAAAAATATTCTTAAATAATTGGTGTGGTTTAGAATAATAATAACAATAATAATAATACATGATATATAGCGTTTTTTTGGACACTCAAAAACGCTTAAAAAAAAAGCTAATAATAAACAGGCCGTTTTGAACAGGTGGGTTTTGAACAGTAATGTGAAGTTCTGAAGTGAGTCAGAGTTCCTAATGTGTGGTTCTATCTGTGCGCTCAATAGTCCAAGTACTGTAAATAGATTTAGATAAATATTGAGATTAATTTTGAAATATCCAAAAGTATCGTAGTTCAAAGTTCATCCATAGTCTATGACAAACCTTTTTAATCCTGCTTTAATCGAATGACTTTCCTATTCCTACGGCCTGTCTGTTTTAAACACATATTTTACTTTTCGACTTTTACTATTCTTGTTGTGTGTGTGCTTCATTCTCCTGCATTCCTTTTTGATGTATTTTGTAATTATGACTGTTTTAGTTATATGCTGACTGGGCAGTGCTTTGAACAACACTGCTATACAAATAATGTTATTATTACACTGGGTAACAAAAAAATATTTTTTGAAAATAGTCCAGGTCCAGTTTTCCAGCTGAATTAGATTAATTTTGATGCTCTGAGTCCGAAAATTACCTTGGTTTTGCTCAATCAGGTCAAGATTTTTTGCTACAGAAATATTTTTTTAAATTGATTTTGCGTAAAAAAAAAAAAAATCTGCGGATCATCAGCTGAGAAACCCTTGACGTTTTTTCCGTTTTCCTCAAGAAATAAAAGTCAACGTATCCAAAGTCATTCAGTTTTTATTTACTCCATCAAATTTGATAAGCGGAATTCATAATAACGTAGACGTACGTAATCCGTAACACTATGGCTGTATCTCAAAAAGATAGAGCAAAATGCATGTGATATTCGGACTCAGAACACCAAAATTAGTCTAAATCAGTTGAGAAACCCCTGACCATTTTTTGGCTGTCAACTTGTGTTATTATTATTATTTGTATTATTATTATTGAACCTGAGAACTAATTATTCTGTTAGGCCAGAGCACATCATGTCTGACTCTTATCACTGCAGCGTGAGTACAAACACATACAGTGCAGTCTTCGGAGCAGGAGGCGATGCAGTGGTCGTCAAACGGGTTCCACTTGACGTCCAGAACCTGCGCCCTGTGGCCACACACCCGCGGCTGCAGAGGGTCCACCCGGCCGGTCTGCGGGCACACAACTCACAATTGTCCACTTGTCTGGGGCGAGTGAAGACACAGACCTTCAGTTAAACAGAAATGTATTCAACCTGGATTTTGAACATTGTCACTGGAGTGGAAGCTGGTCTCACATTTTCAGGAAGACTGTTGTAGATTGTATCAATGTGAATCTGAAATGCTGCTTCCCCATGTGAAATGTATGTGGTTATGGTTCTTTCCCAGATGGCTGGATGACCAAAATTATTATCTATAGTGCCATAAAAAGTGCTTCTGTTGGACTAGAATTATGCATATTGCGTAATGACCTACTACGTATGAAAATTGTAGCAGGTCAACTACTCTGGATCTTGAGAAAAACTTTAAAGGAGCAGTATACAAAAATCTGGCCAAAAGTGGTACTGCAACCTCTCCCATGCTTCCTGACTCAGGTTGCCAGATATGCAGACAAATCCATCTGGGACCATAATTTCTGAATAAAGAGTTTTGTCAACAACAAATCTACAACCAACACCTTTTTCACAAATATAGAAATATGGTTTTGTTTCTTGTTTTGTCATTAATTATTTGAGAATCATAGCAAGATCTTTTTTATTTCTGCACCTACATGTTACTTTACCAGTTAAATTAGCTTGACACGGTGAGTTTGGGCAACCCGAATCACAGACTTTCTGATTGGTAAAACGGTGGAGGGCGGGACATCGAAACGAAAACAATTCAGATTTGGGGGCTGTAATTTTGGAATCCAAATATCTCGGCTGAACTACTGTTATCAGTGAAATAAGTATTTGAACAGAGCATGGTTTATCAATGCCTTTTGACAGATTAAGGCCATTTAATGATGACTTGACATGAAACTCATACATATTACATATTTCTACTTTAAAGTACAATATAAACTGCTAAAAATTAACTTCTAAAGCACAACATAAACATGTGTAGATACCTCATAATACTGCTGATCACAGTGTATACTCCACTAGTGACTTTATTTTAGTATTCTAGTTTATGATCTGTTGTTTTAAATGATAGATATTGTTTGATGTGTCCAACAAGGGTGTTCTTATTTCCTCCTTCCATGACAATGAAGTTTCCCCTCTGTGGAACATATAAAAGCTTATCTTATCTTATCAGGTACACTGTGTAGGTTTTACTACCATCTAGCGTTGAGATAATATCATAGTTGAGATAATATATTGTAATCTACAGTACTAAGGTAGCTTGGCAGGGCAATATGTCGCTTTGACAGTGGCCCCCAACTCCCGCTCAAACTCCTTTTTTCAAGATGGCTCATTGACATGAACAGTCCTCCAGCTCTCATGTCCATTTCTAAGACTATGAAGTAATTGTTCTTAAAAAGGTCACATTTGTTATTGGTTAACATGTTTTATCATTTGGAGCAACTGTAAAAAGGTACAGTACCTTTAACGATGCAAAGGAAACAAGCCTTGTTTAAATCAGTGCAGTAAAAGTGGTGCCTTTAACTTCAGACAAACTCGCATTCCTCTTGAACCAGTGCAGCTGTATGTGTAACATTGTTCTGATGGCACTCACGTCATTGATTGGCAGCACCAGGAAAGCCCCCCCACCCGAGCACTCGGTCACCACGGCGATGAAGGCGGGGTTAACGGTACAGCAGTGGGTGTCATGGACGCTACGGGTGATTGGCAGTCCGTCAAAGCTCTGCCTTCGAGACGCAGGCTTTCCAAAAACATGACCAAACTTTGAACCCTGGAAAGAGGAGCGCCCTGACATCTGCCAACGACAAGAGGCAGTGTTTACATTTTAGATAACTCAGGAAGAAAATGACCATTAAATGTACAAATGTCCAAATCATATTTGACCTTTTCTGAACAAAAATCTAATGTGGGGTTCTCATTAATTGAAAAGGCAACTAGCGGCACGGCGGCTGAGTGGATAGCACTCTCCTCACCCAGTAAGAAGGTCCTAGATTCAAATCCCGGTCGGAACAGGGTCTTTCTGAGTAGAGTTTGCATCTTCTCCCCGTGGCTGTGTAGGTTTCCTCTGGGTACTACCACTAAAAACATGCTAAAAAGTTAAAAAGTCTGTTGCTTCGTGGTTTTATATTAATTTAAGAAAACATTCATACATTTTAGACTTCAGCTTAAAATTCAGTGATGAATGTATTTCAGCCAATTATCATAGCTACTTATTATAATGTATAGTTGATGGTGGTGACCAAAATGAGATTAGCTTAGCCGACTATTTTTTAATATAGTTTTATTGAATCAAGTAGTACATCACTATGGTTACCATAATCGTTTATTTGGGAGTAAAAAAAATCTGGCTTATTTTGATTGAGAGATTTTCCCCATTCCCACTTGGTCAATGACAGCCAACTGGTTTTTTATGGAGCTCTCACTCACCACCATTAGTCTCTTTGACATTTTGACTCAGATCTCCCATGTTTTATATACTTTACAAAAGTAAAGTTTAAAACAAAATTCCACTATAGACAACAGACATGCTTTGTTTTTCGCTTTATGTAACCAAAATGTCACATGCAAAGTTGTCTGGAAACTTGATTAAAATTGTATATCCATAATTCATAAGATTATAAAGCCAATAATGATAGGTGGCTGCATTATTGATGGGAGAGAACAAAGTAGGTGCAACATTTCCATCGCAGACTGTTCTGAGATGATGTGAGGCGCATGGCTCAGGCCGACAAATCCTTCCTTGTTTCTTTAAATATTTATGGATTACATACACTCTTCCTGTTGTTACAAAGTCCTGACGACCTTCTCCACAAATAGGGTCAATTTACAGCATTTACAGGCTACACTTAAACTTGGGCTTGAACGTTTGTTACTTTAACATATTTTCGGGACTCAATCAATTGACTCAATCAGAACAAACTGTATTGAATTGACAGTAGACAATGACAAGAAATATCAGTATTTGTTTGAATTAGATTGAATTTATATTGATTTGTAGGCAATATTTTTGGTGCAATTTGCAAAATTGATGTAAATTATTGATATTTTTGTTTATTTGACTTTGTAGTGACACAGTGGCTGAAAGGATAGGATCACAGTGTTTTTCTGAGATACTATAGGATCAATTGTTTCGAAGGTTTTCACTGCTGATGGACCCTGCACTAGAAAAAATACAAAACTATTTGTGGAATCTGAAATGCATATTCTGTACTGTGGACTACTGTTACATCTGTATTACTGCTAAACATTATTATCTGAAGAACTGAACGCATTTTGTTCTCTGTTCTTATGCACATTGTTACAAATCATATAAAAATCCCTGTCTCTTTTTGATCAATCTGGATGGCCTCAAAAATAAACCATGCACAGGTGCAATCGCTGCTGCCTTGTCTTCATTTCTCGACAGATTGATCCTGGAGCTCTGCAGACACAACTGTGATCAAAAGTAAAGGCAACAAGCGGTTCACTATCTATAAGAATGTACGGGTGTAAATCAGCGCAAGTACTAATTTCCATCTGTAGTTCCCTTTTTTTTTTTTTCAATTCATGGTGTATTGGGTTCTGAGGTGGGCTACAGCATGGGTCTGACTGGGTTTGTTCACAGATTCCATGGTCCTGCATGAGCCCTGTGAGCCTTGACACGAGGAACAGGGCCTATCTGACTGTAGTTTGCACGTTCTTTACAAGTCTATTTAGGTTTCCTCCGGTTTCCCCTACCACTCAAAAACATGTACAAGACGTAAAATCCTCCAGCTCTGGTCCTGACCAATATGAGCCTCAAGACCTGGAGCTGGATCCTTGGGTGCTGCACTATCACCAAAACCTCCGCTGCTGACAGAAGCCCTAGTGGCATTGGAGGGATGGGTCAAATGCAGAGGACGCACTTAACTTAACTATGAAACCAGATACATACACTTGCCATCACACACTCACACAGACATTACACCCACCTAAAGAGCATGCACACACACACATACATGTTCTACGTCATGGTGCTACGTCCCTTAGCGGACTTCGCTAGTGGGATATCACGTGACCCCCAGGTCACAGACACCAGAGAGATCAACAAAAAATGCTCCAATCACTAGCGACCCTCCTCTATAAAGGCCCCTGCTCCATAGCCGCGCCCCCTCTTTCACTCTGGCGCCGATTGAGATCTACCACAGTACTTACTTCATTCTGAGATGTCTTCCGTTGTTCGTCCGAGTTCCCCTTCGCCCTCCGGCGTCGGACGTCGTCGCTGCTCGGCGTGTCGGGTCAGGCTCCAGCGCACGGACCAGCATGCCAGCTGCTTCATGTGCCTGGGCCCGGGCCATGCGGCGTTGAGCGCTAGCTGCGCCTCGTGTCTCGCTCTCCCCAGGGAGGAGAGCGAACGCAGGCGCGCGTTCTTCGCCGCTGCAGCGCCCCGTCCGGACTCCTCTCAGGACGAGGAGTCTGAGATTGACTGGGCCCCACTCGACCTTCCGCCCGTGCCCGCGGAATGGGGTGACTGCGAGGATGGAGAGGCTTCGGAGGTCGGCTCTCTCCTCACGCTGGACGAGGTGGTGTCGAACCCGGAGCCGGACCGCTTTCCGCTGGACCACATGCCTGGTCTCTACTCCTCCGCGGCGGCCATCATGGATGCTCCTCTACCACCGCAGCCGATCCAGAGGGTGGAGGACTTCACCTCTGTGGGCGCCACCACTCGAGGGAGGAGGAGGATACAACCCACGTTGTGCCCGCGGATGGACCCGATCGTCCATTACGCGACACGTGAGTGGCCAAAGCCCCTAGCAGCCAAGAGGCCTGCTCTGGGGTACGGCATGTATTGCAACGTGCAGGACTGGTCCTGGACCGGTGGTGTCCCGGACATCGAGGATTCAGTCCGCATGGCCCTGCAGCCCTCCGCATCCGTGTGGCCCGGCACCAGACCTCTCCTTCCCTCCGAGCGGGACAGGATGTCTTTGGCTATGCTGGATAGATATTACGCCAATGCGGCACAGGTCGTCGCATTGGCTAACAACATGGCATTCATCACGGGGGCCCTGGATAGGTCGCTCTCCTCTGGCCAGGCGCTCAGTGGAGACCTCCTATCAGCAAGCGAGGACCACCTCGGCGGCGATCCTGCGCATGTGCCAGGCGCTGGCCGTGGATGGTGGCCGCTCCATGGCTGCAGCCCAAGTCGGGGCCAGGCACCTTTGGCTTGGGCTGGCTAATATCAGGGAGGTGGAGAAGAGGCAGCTGCTGGACCTGCCCATCTCCCAGACGTCCCGCTTCGGCCCGGACATGCAGGCCCTGGTGGCGAGACTGGAGTTTGCAGCCAACGACTCGGCTAGGCTAGCCCCGCACCTAGCACCGTGGCGCGAGGCCCGCCCACCATCACGGAGCCGGGACAGAGGCAGAGAGCGTTCGCCCGGGAGGCGTTCTGACCCGTATCCGCGCTCTGTGGTCCATCGTCCCCCCTCGACGAGGCCCCCGGGTCCAGACAGACCCACGGGTGGCTCGCGGGAGCAACGCACCCACCGCCGGCCTCCCTATGGTAGAGGAGGTTGGGGTGGCAAGAATTCTTTCAATAAAGGCCGACCGGCATTTCATCAGTACTCGTTGTCTGAGTCTCATTTGGGGGTACGTAACATGTCTATTGTGCAATCTGATGTGTTACTTCCCGGGCCCATAACGTTGCTTCACTAGGCCTGCAGCCCCCAGAGCAGGGTGTGCAGTGCGCTACGCGAGCTACGAGCGCCGGTCCTCTGATCCATGCTATGCCCTCCCAGAGAGAGGTCAGGCGGAGGGATCTGGTGAGTAGTGATGTGTGTGCTTCGGCCGAACGCGTGCTAGCCCCTCTGAGCTACAAGGCTAACACGGGGTTTCCCACTCCAGGGGCTCGCCCCCCCCTCCATGAGGCAAGAGCCAGGGGGGGGCGCAGCAGTCGAGTCACGTGGTATGAGCAGACCCGTACTTATGACGTCGGGCCTGCAGGACACATGACCGCCCCCGGCGCACACGGTGTGACGCAGGGGGCCCCCCGGCCCTTTCGTCCACCCCCCCTCCCTGCTAGGAACACCAGGAGAGGGCGGGGCTGTGACGTCTCGTGTTCCAGCTCCCGTTCCGCCCCTCACAGACTTCTACAGCATCTGGAGGGAGCAAGGTTTGCTGACAGATCTATGGCTGGAGAAGACATTGCGCAGGGATTACGCACTGCAATTCTCCCGAAAGCCACCACCATTCCGAGGCGTACGGGCAGCACGCTCTCAGGTACGGGGATCATTAGTGGCACTACAAGCGGAGGTCTCCTCTCTGCTGAGTCGAGGCGCAGCAGTGGAGGTAGACCCACAGGACGCCACCAGGGGGCTGTACTCCCCTTACTTCTTGGTGCCAAAGAAGTCAGGCGGGGTGCGTCCCATTTTGGATTTGCGCGTTCTGAACGAGTGCATTTCCAAACGGCAGTTTCGGATGCTGTCCACAAAACAGCTCCTCGAGTGTGTCAGGCAGGGAGATTGGATGTCCTCCATAGACCTGACAGACGCTTACTTTCACGTGCCGATAGTTCCGGAACACAGGAGGTTCCTGCGCTTCGCAGTGGGAGAGAGGAGTTACGAGTACTGCCGTCTCCCCTTCGGCTACGCGCTCGCGCCTCGGACCTTCTCAAAGTGCGTGGAGGCGGCACTGGAGCCGCTCAGACGCGCAGGGGTAAGAATATTAACCTATATAGACGATTGGTTAATACTGGCCTCATCCAGGGAAGTGGCCGTGAGTCACACGCACTAGGTCCTGTCCCACATACAGCGCCTGGGCTTTGTGGTGAACAGGGAGAAA